TTTAAATTGAAAACATTCAGTCTCTCCAGCTGCCCCAGTCTTCGCAAAAAGCTTTTAAGTGAATCTTAACAGATTTTCCTCCTCCCTAAACAGAGTCCAATTTATCAAAAAGCTTCTGCCTACTACCAACGAGTGCATGTGTAGGCTTTCTGAAGAACAGTGGGCTTTTACCAACTCCTCCATCATCCATCATCAGCCAGACCCCCTCCAGGAAGCGCAGGGCACCTGCAGGACTGAGAGCGCACAGAACCACCAGGCCAGTGCACAGACCCACAGGGAACATGCAGACTCCACACGGACAGACAACTGAACCCACAGCTCTGGAGCTGTGAGCCTGTGGCACCAGCTACCCCATTACCGTTACACCCTCAGCATGTAATGAGTTTATCACAGTAGCATAAGGTGCACGGTATTCTCTATCGGAAATATGAATCATATGCCACAAAACCACAAAAGCATTTCTTTCTGTTGTTCATAAGAGACCGTGCATGCCCGAGGCTGCACTGAGCCTGGCAGTCTGTTTGGGAAGACCAGAGGCAGCTGACGACGGAGCGAGTGCTTGCTAGCACCGCGGGGTTAAGAGTGTTCTGTATTTTCCTGCAGGAGAAGTGCAGCCGGTGGTAGAGTCACAGCTGACGCTCCTCCCTGCCGTCCGTGCCAGCCCCTGCTCGTTCCGGAGAAACGAGCCCTGTTTTCAATTACAGGAGCCGTGCTGAGAGCGCCACCTGGCAAAGCCGCCCCCGGCGCTGTAAATCTGCCAGGGCCGACCCTGCGCCCCGGGAGAGAGAACACCCGGCCAGGTATTTCCAGCCGGAGTCAATGGCTCCTCATGCCCCGCAGGCATCTCGCAGTGCGGCCAGCGCCTTTAACACGCTCCCCCACCGTCGCTTCCTGTGCCCACTGCTGCCAGCTGGCCTGCCGTACCGTCCAGTCAAGCTGTGAGACCCTTGAGGTACACAACGCACTTTTCCTCTGACTTATTCGCTCAGCAAGCACCCGTGTGCCGGGTTGACCAACTCTTCCGGAACAATCTGTACGATAAGGGGACAAACGGAAAGTACAAGCCAAGAAGTCTCAGTAACAACACATCAGCATAAATTGGAAACAGGCACATACAGAACGGGCCGCTGAGATCCACCAACAGAGCCTGTTTGGAGCGGTACCACATCTTAAAACAAACGCCCCATGAGGTCAGAGGAACGCCATCCCCGCGGTGGAAACTCGCTGGGCAGGTTCGCCGCTTTTCTCCCGGCTTCGCCCTGCTGGCACTGTGCAGTACTGCTGCAGGCCTTTGACAAGGTTAGGAAGGAAAAAAACTGCACAAGACAACTCCAAGGAAATCAGCCCCTCCCTCAGGCCAGCAGGCAGGACAGGGAGAAACAGAGGGTCTCTCTGGCATGCTGGGACACGAGCCCTTTCACAGAGGCGCTGGAGAGCCTCGTGAGGCATGCTCTCCGCTCCCACTTGGGGCTGCCTCGTCACCGTTGTTTTTCAAACTAATCTGAGGTCAACTCTCCCGCTCCAGGCCAAAACAGCAAAGCCCAGGAATGCGCTAAGGGTCCAGTTATCCCACGTTGAGAGACTGAGCTGGGACCTTTGTTTGGGCCCAGTTTTGGAGCCTGCGTCTGGGAACTGGCCGAACTTCCCGCTCCTTTCCCATTCTCCCTAATGCCAAAGCGGAATTGCGTTATTATAGCTTTAATGTGGTCAGGTCAGGGGCCACATTTTTGGAGTTCTGTATAAAAAAAGCCAAACTTTACAGCGCCGCTTCTCTGAATTAACTGCTAGCCAGATTGTGGACTTCAGTGTCCTTTGACCATGGAAAGAAACCCAGAGGCTTTTGCCCGAAGACTGCCTGGGACCAGTCTGCAGCATGCCTGTGTCTGTGTATGTTTCTGCTGACTCATGCTTGCAGCTCAGTGGGTCAGTGAGTCAGTGATTTGTTTGAGCAATAAAGTTCAGCACCAGCACAGGAACATGTAGTGAAAGCATGGGAACAGCACGGTGAAAGTATGGTAATTAAGTATACACCATGTAGGAAACAAAAATGTATAATCCCCATCCCATATTTATCCAGGATAAATCCCAGGGAAAAGGCAGGAACAGTAGAAGGACTGAGAAAAGGGCTGATGAACCTCACAACGTCCGAACTACCAACTGGAGGAAATTCCAGCCAAATGGCCGAGAGGTTGTCTACTGTTTGTTTGTTTGTTTGTATATTGTCTTGATGCACTGTCTGCACTTTGTGTTTTTACACTTGTTTTAACAATCGAGAGACGTTCTGTAAGTAAGAATTCCATTGTACCAGTACATGTACCAGTTACATATGGCAATAAAGTTCAAATCCAAGGAAGAGCTGGAACCTCGAAGCATCTCAGAAAGCACCAGCGTCTCCCTAAGAGAGCTGGGAATATCTTCCTCCTCTCCTGGAACCTGGTAGGACGAGCCTCCAGCGTTTACAAAACAGTCAGGGATACGCTCACCCTGGGATGACATAAAGAAAGATGGGCTTTTTTTAAAAAAAACATCTTCCTAAGCTATAACTCCCAAGGGCAAGGAGCAAGTAAAGACATGCAGGTTAAATGCAGGTTAGATCACTCCATGGATGGTTATATTTTATTTTTTTTAAACCAGTCTTTATCCTGGATGTGCAAAGACAACGATGACAGCTCATTCATTTATAGAGCTGCTCTCAGACTAACTAGGTCAAGGCCATTAACCCCAGAGGGAACATACAAACATACAGTATACTGTACAGTATGTCAGGCAGCTCTCACCCATCAGAGGAAAGTTTCCTAACCCCTCTGTGAAAGCACTGTAGGCAGTTTGTGTTTTTTCTAACAGATTTCTTTGCATTTTTCTTTCCCTGATTTCCACGGAGTAATTAAAGAGCTCTGGGTATAGTGCAAAGAGCAGTAAATCTGATTGATTCAAAGCAGGTTCTTCCACACAATTAATGGAGCCTCACCTCCTGTCCAGTCATTAAACATTGATTCGAGTTTAATGGCATATTTCACCACCCTGGGATTCATTACGAACGTGAAAAGAATGAAAAACTCACTAAATCTAGCTCAAATTGCAATATAAAGTAATCGTTCCACTAGGGCACATTACACAGTTCATTCCTCCTCCCCACTTCAAACGCTGAGCACCAACAGCAACTTGCTTAAAGTCGATCCGCCTCAGGTTCTGGCTTAAATGAAGACGGAGATCAGACGTGTGCCCCCACACTGACACACGCCTCTCTCAGTACAATACAGCAAACCTCTGCTTGCGAACAGCTCAAGCCAAAGGGTCACCTCATGTGAAGGAAGCTTAAAAGTCTTCGACCGGCAAAAACACAGGATTGCACAGTTCTGCCCAGGAGCCACACATTCTGCTGCCCTTGGATTCTTCTGGTGTGAACGTATCGAAGAAAGCACTGACAATGAGGTTTTGCGTTGCTCAAGCTGCGTATGCATTCCTCCCTGACAAATTGTCTCTGGCATGATATAGCACCTCTCCCCCCACACACACATACTGTACACTCCACTTCTGTATGTCATTCCCTTTGCGAGGTGTGCTTTTCCAGCTGTGGGAATTACAGAGTCGGCGCTCTGCAAGCACCGGCCCACTCCACCTCTCCCATCAGAGCGGGCTGGAGGACTCCCCAGAGCACGACAGCCACACGCACCCACTGAAACACAGCCCCACGGGCTCCTCCCTCCCTACTCCTCCCCCCTGGTCCCACAGGCCTAGCAACCCAGCTGTGCACATTACCAACCTGCAGGGAGGGCCTGCAGCTACCAGCCTCATGGGGACCAGTGCTGTCAACCACAGGAGGGCTGGGACACCTTGCATTCCTTCTCTGTGCAGAATGAGGACACCTTTGTGCACAAGTAGCTTTCAGAAGCAGGTTTAATTTATTAAACTTAACTTTGCTTATTCACTGGGAGTCTTTATTCAAGTAGATCAATAAATATGTATTGCATTTATTTCAATACTGCTTCACTTTTCACCGTGATATAGGTCCTCATTTCAACACTGCTGTAACAGGACACAAGTCTCTGTGTGCTCCACTTTAAGCTCAATTGTATTCTGACAAACACTGCACACCATCCATGAAAAACCATTTGGGAATTCTTGTCCAGCAATAAGGTACTAATTTTGACAAAGCCTTTCAAAAATGTCAACAACAAATGTTGTTGATTTTGTCCTGTGGGATTGGGATGTGAATGCATTTCACACAAATCGAGCACACAGCTCTCCAAACCCTTCCTGTTCCAATGCTGAGCACTCTCAGTGCACGATGAAAGAGCAAACACAGTGTGGGCTCCACAAGCACACGCCCATCTCCCTGAGCTGGGGAAACTGGCACACGCCCATCTCCCTGAGCTGGGGAAACTGGCACACGCCCATCTCCCTGAGCTGGGGAAACTGGCACACGCCCATCTCCCTGAGCTGGGGAAACTGGCATGCTCTGATGAACTTTGAGGTGAGACAGTCATGGAGCACTTTTTGTTTTCTGTCTTCAAAGTGAGAAGCGCACAGGTTCTCAAAGGAAACAGTCCCCACCGTGCACTCCAGTCCAGCTCGGAGCTGAAGACACAGCGCAGGACCTGTGCTCACACCAGTGAAAGAGGGGCTGGTGTCTCAGCTGACAGTGACAGCACTGAGGTGATGCTAACCTTTTGATTATAGGTTCAGCACACCGCTGCTGCACACCAATACGAGCTGAATTTACTGTTACGATAAAAATAATGAAAACAGCATCTTCTGGTTAGCTTTAGATAAAAACCAATGCCCCAGGATGGTGAGCAAGGACACTGTGCTATAGGTGGTACAAGTTCACTTCACAGGGCACTGTTCATAAGAGTAGGGGTGTGAACCCCCTTGTTCTGGCTAGACTCCAGGCTGGGCTTGTACAATCTGGCCTCGCCCAAGTTCCCCCTTAATCCAATGCGCTCCTCTATGCAACAGCACTGTGAGCACATTGCACTGAGGCCGGACGCTGCCCCTACCTCAAAGACTTCCTCATCCAGGAGGCGGGTCCCAAACACCGTGACGCCGTCAGTGCTGACAGAGGGGCTGTCTCCTCGGCGAAGCTCCTGGCTCTCCAGCTTCACGCAGTCCAGATACAGGGTGACCACCTTCCCTTCCACGCTGAACGCTATCCGGTGCCACCTGGGAAGAGACAGGCACTCCGCTACACTGTGTCCACATGCTTATACTTCTGCCGCTCCAATTCGCAAACAAACACAGGATCAAAAAGTCCACAGGGCGCCGATTTAAAAAACACAGCAGCTGGAAGTGTTACTGGGTCTAAAAGATGCATTGTCACGTTAGTTGCACTCTGACATGTTTCTAGGGTTCCTGCTGACAGTCAGCATGATTCTCTGTGATTGTTCGTTGGTTTATACCAAAGTCTCCAGCCCCGGCCCCGGCCCCGGAGAGCCCCCTGGTTCAGGAGGGAACATCGGTGACCATAAAATCACTATTTTCTATAGAGCGGGGATAATCTAAACTGTGATCAATTCTGCGGATGTTTTGCTAAATTAAGTAATTTAGAGATCATCTAGGTCCAAACTCTGATCCCAACCTTTCAGCTCTCTGGGACTAGAATAATTTACAGGTGTCCCCAATCAATCACCCAACTGATAGATGTAGACACTGAAGGGAAACTGGTGATTAAACTGTCTTTTAAGACAGGTTCCTGTGGACTCTCACACCTGCTGCTTTTCATAGCTGCTCTTTACTCAAATGAACCCTTCACTGAACTAGGTTGCTTTGTTGGAACCTTTGTAAGTTACTTTCTTCCACTCAAAGGTTGGAGATTTGAAGTTACTCTTGAGTTCAGACTAAACATTATGTCTGAGAAAAGTTCAATAGTTTAACTGAGGGCTCATGTGCAATAAACACCAGCAGGTGTGTGGGTGCCCAGAACCTGGACTGGGAACCCCTGTTTGAAGATACTGTTTGGAAGCCCAGGTGTACCCACTTTCCATCAGCCAGGTTGATCTTCTTGAAGATGGGGTATTCCTCTGGGGTAGGCTGGCCGTTCTGGTCCTCGTAGAGAAAGACAGGAGACCGCCCGATCTCCAAACCCAGCTGCTGGACCCCCTGGTCATCATAAACGGACAGGAGAAAGAACTGGGATCCCTTCTTGGCTCGGACTGTGGCCATTATGGAAAAAGCTTCCGGGAATGCAGTGTCTGGTGAGGAAGAGAATGCAGGGTTACCATCCAGTCTGGAACGAGAACCCTCTGGGGCCCCTGCCCAATCCGCTCCACCACACACTGTGATGTACAGGTCTCTTTTGGACAGGGGCATGAGTGTACAAGGCAGATTTCTTGCAGTAGTGCAGGACCACTACTGTCAGATCAGCTCCTGGACAGCCCAGCAGGTCTCCTTAAATCATCTACAGCACAAAGGCTCAGGAAGAAAGAGGGTGAGATCAGCTCAATTAGCTACTGACATTGATACTGGTCTCCGAACTCTATAACACCTGCACGTTGAACTTTAAGATTTAAGAGAGAGATTGATAAGATGAGCGATTCCTTTCACGAGGGAATTCGCAGCCATTAATGACATGACTTGCTTGTCTCTAAAATCAGCCATTACAATTGCTCCAGTACTACACGTAATGACCTACAGAGACACTAAGAGAAAGCATGCACAGAAATACTGTATACCTGCCACTAGACAGCTGCCCTCCAGAATATGCTAGTGTCAAATTCACATGATATTTATCAAGAGTTTTAGCGTTACTGTGTAATTTGCATTATGAGGCAAGGGTATTTTATTACAATAATGATATTTATACACTCCACAATGCTGCATTTCTCTTATGTTGATTAAAAAAACCGCACTGATAATTTCCCGAGTCAGAATGAAACAGTCACTCAGGTCTTACTAAGGATGTTCTGGCCACAACCAGGGGCAAATAGTTCTGGATAAATTTAAGAGAAAAAATAAAATATTAAAAAGCTGCTCTGTTTTTCCATTTCAGTTTAACTGATTACATGGGTATTTGTTTTTTTTAACAAAAAAAATGTTAATTATGATAGGACTCTCTGTGTCAGTTCCAGAACTTGTGATTAATGACTGGCAAATTACTTTCTAATTGTCTTTGTTATAAAAATAGAAGTTTCCTTGTATTAAAAAAGGGAGCGATACGTGTGAAGAATGTGATTTCCTTGGGAAAACAAGCACTGGGTGTGTAATTAAGAATAATAACAGGTTTGGGCCTTGAGCTTTTATTTGCCCTGTTTCATCTCAGTATCAAAGCCAGATCTGAACACGTGTTTATTGTCGTAGACTAAATAATGAGAAAGAGGAATGCTCTCAGTCCCTCCATATTTGTGTGTGGCCTCCCAAAGGAAAGGTCCAGGAAGCCTGGGATTTCAAGCTGGGAAGGAATGCTGGGACAGCAGAAGAAGGTGGAGGGGACACATGAGAAAGATGAGCACAGCTCCAGCCTAGATCAGTGGCAGGGCTCTGCTCCTGATGACTGAATTGGTCTCGTTGATTGCGGGATGGAATCAATTTAATGTCCCGTTCTGTGTTTTCACAGCCGAGGCGCTCAAACAGCACTCCGACCGGCCGCGCCCAGCACCGCTCCTGCAGAGGAGCAGAGCCGGAGAGGACAGGGCGACCCACTCCCACTTGGGCTCTGGACCACAGAGGCTCCAGCTCCTGGGCCCGCCAAGCCAGGAGCCTTTCAGAAGAAGCCCGGCAGACAGGATGGGTCCAAACAGACCAGAGACTCCCAACACCCCGACAGTTTAAAGAACAGCGAAGGCTCCCCAGAAACAGCTGGCGAGACGAACAGAACAGAGCCCCTCGGGTGTAGTGGGTCACGGAGCCCGCACTTCACTGCAGTTCTTCACAAGCAGACAAGGAAACCGGAGCGATCCTCCGCGCCTCCACGACCACTTTATCTCCAACCCACACAGGTGGGGAACCGTTATCCCTGACAAGGCTCCCTCTTTAATTACATTTATAAGCAGTCTCTGACTTATGGATCCGTCAGCATCGGCTTAATTAGATTTTCCCCACTCGGAGATGGGGAAAAGAGAAAACGCAATGCATCTTCATGTTGCAATGACCCAAAGAAACAACATGTGCACCATGCATATAAACACCCCCGTTAACACATAAAGTACATATAAAACACTGGTCAAATATACAGTATATATAAAAGATTTTCATATTAAGATACAAAGAAAGATAAGTGAAATAATTATGGTTCAATGATGAGAACAGTTAAAGGTGAGAGGAGACCACCTGGGCCCAACAAGCCCACAGCTATGGTACACAGCTGCCTACTGTTCCAAGGAATCCACCCAGCCCATCTCTGTAGGACATTCCTTAAGGCCTGGGAATGAGTAGCAAGATCTGTAATGTGGTGAATCAAGTAGCACACGATATTTGAAATGAGGCCTTACTAGTCTGCTACACCGTTTTAATACAAATCATCCCATTTTTCCCCACTCCAGAAATCTCCCCCTTTTCCCTCAGCTCTTCAGCAGCGCTGCTATAAGCACCGACTGCCATCAAGCATCTGCTTCAGGCCCTGCGTGGTTCATTAGAAGGTCAGGCAAATCTGGCTTTGATAACAGCGGGCATTAAAGTGGATTAACACACGGAACACTTTTCTCACTTGCATTAGGGATATAAAACTGTAACTGCTAGAAAGCCAACAGGTTAAAAAATCTCTCAATCTATCCCCATGATAGGAGTCAAAACATGATGTTTTGTTCCCTCCCCCACTCACATTACCTGGGAAGAGCTGCTTGGTGGGCGCACTCAGCTGGATCTTCTTTTCTATCCTATAGGCCATGTCTGCCTCCTCCATGTCCTTCCGGGCCGTGCACAGCCCTGCCGCCATGGAAACGCCATCCATGTTCTCCGATATGTCCAGGAGCCTCAGCACGTCAATGGGATTGGCTGTCAGGTTGAGAAAGGCACGGGTACATAAGGAGGTACAGTACCATTAAAGCACAGACGCACCACACTGCCACCAAGCGAAGCTTCTCAGGCTACACTGAACCACATGGCACTGTACAAATACAAGCTCCAGTTATACAGAGCTTTATGACATTTCAGAAACGGCTAAAGCTGCACAGGACTTTGTTGAGGAAGGCTCACAACCTATACGTCATGCAAAACTATTACAACTTTAGGACAATGCTTTGGGAAAAATATTAAAATGCAAATATGAATTAAAATAAAGAACATGAATATCCATCAGAGTTTTTGTCATAAACAACCCTGTACATGCCCTGGAAATCACAGGCGGCACACATTATTCAGGTTATTTTTACAGATTTTTCCAAAAGCTTTAACTTCACACTATAATACTGAACAGAATGAGCAAAAGAACAGTTACTTACCTGTTATCTAACCTGTCTAACTAAGAATCTCGGCTGTTTTCCTGGAACATGGTCACTTTATGTACAGGTGTGCCTCCTGTTCCCAGTTTTAATGCCACTTTCAATAGTTTCCACATGAGCCCTCTGGATGTGACCTAAGCATGCCAACATGTTGGCAGTGCAAGCTGTAGATCTGGGGACGGTGTGATCCAGAACCAATCTGCAGCAGCACTAGCATGGCTGTTCAAACACTTTGGTTTTGAAGAGTCTGTAACATTCCCTACATAACGTTGGAAGGCTCTAACAGACAGCAGTGCTAAAGCAGACAGGACATTCCAAGATTTGTGCTTAGTTTTCTCATGTTACAAAGAACGACAAGTAATCTAATTGCGCAATATCTCTTTTGCACACCTTGGCAATCTCTGGGGATTTGAGTGCTAAACAGCTGTGGAAAGCCCCTGCTGAATGGCTTCAATGGGGGGGTATCTCACAGGTGAGCTACTGTATAATAAAGCCCACCCCTTGCAGGGGAACCCCCCAAAGAGAGCGCTGTGTCTGAAGGAGCAAGGGCCTGTCTGCGTGCAGCCCAGCTACAGCAACGTCTTGCAGACAGACACCCAGCAGATCGCCAGGTGCCTGGAGCAAATAACTGTTATTATGGAATAATCAAGCCTGGCAGGACTATGTGAACGCCGGGCCCGGAGCTTCAGTACCAAAAGCTGCAAAGAGCCCTGCTCAATGGCACCTGCCTTTGATGGGGCAAAGGAGGTGTGGTTTCTGCATCGAGTGCTCTCTCTGTCTCTCGCCGATCAGGGCAACATCACAAGCCTCCTCAGATCAAACAAGTGGAAGTCTGCGGGTTCCCACTGTCTGTAAAATAGGGCCCTTTAATTCAGACAATGAACAAATCATTGGATCGCTCGCTTAGCATCTTAAACACTTTGATTGCCAAGAGTTTGCAAAAACCATAACGGCTGGAGCTTTTATAAAAATTACTTTTCACTAGCCAGCATTTGTTTCATTTAACGGCAAACCAGGAAGACGCCTACTTTACATCCTCTCTGATTTTTTTTTACTGGCACCCGCAAGCAAAAGCACTCATCGCAGCAGAAAATAAAACGATTTAGAAAAAAGCCCCCGGGGGCTGAACTTCACGTTGCAAGGCGGAGAACGAAAAATCTGGAGCACAGGCTGCAGTGCACTGGTTCAGCAATAGGATTCAGAGCATTGTGTAGCACCATCCTTTCCAGCTGTCTGGTCTCATTCATTCAGATACTGCTTTCTCTTTTTCATACAAAGACTACAATTTGCAGTAGGGTCTTCACACTGTGGACCATACTTGCCATGAGATATTGAACAGTTCGTTCTCACCTGTCCCATGATCCTTGTTCTGGAAAGATCACACCTGACTAATCCTGGGGGCGGACGGGAAACGCTACTCTTTTCACCGATATAGAAACACGCAAATCAAAGCCAACGAGCCAGCCCCAAGCCTGCCCTCCAAAATAATCACCTGAGATAAACATTCACTCTAAACACAGAGATAAAAAAGATTTAAAACAAACTAATGTAATGACGATACCACATGGACAGGAAGACAGCTGTACAAATTAAAGGTAAGGAAAGCCATTGAAAGTCAGGGTAATAACCTTTAATTCACAGAGACAAATACAGCACGTTACTGCTGATTCAGTAAGAGCGATTAGAGAAGAGAACGTGCACAGCATGTGCCCGACACTTTTTAATTACCAATACACCTCTGACTCCAGCGCTGCAGCTACTGAGTCGTGGTTAAAAGCTCTCTAGTACAGCCATCAATGGACTTGTTCAAAGCTTCCCTCCTATAAATTATACAATTAAAAACTAAGACCAGAGCTTCATTTAATGCAATAAATAAAAGATTCAGAATCCCTCTGAGCTCAAGATTAAAAGTCTTTATATTGGCAGGTGGCTTTTTTTTTTTAGCAACTCTAAGCTATCAATTAGGCCCTGGCAAAACTCTGGAAAAAGGCGCATTATTAATTTTTATCCTGCAATGCTCATCGGATCACACAGCACAAAGATGAAAGATGCACACTTTTTCTCTCTCTCTCTCTTTTTCAACAGGCTTCCGCTGGGCTTGTTTTTACAGTTGAAAATTGATTGTGGCGCTATCCCATCCACCCCCGCCCGCGCTCGCGTCTCAAGACGAGCCTCTCTGCTTCGGAGAAAGGATGGGATGACAATGGAAGGTGACATGCCCGGAGGCAAGAAAATTTTGCTTTTATTGGGACCGGCTTCTCGTCCTTAACTAGGTTCCAGTGTTTCTCTTGTCCTCGCACATTTCTGTCTCCATATCCGTGACAAGCTGTCAAACTGCAGATCCCCGTGGGAACAAGGAGTTCAGGCAGAAAAATCAGAGAAAGGCCTACAGCAATATCAGGCCTGTTCCCTCTCACCCGCCATTGGCTCATTCATGTCAAAAAACAGCCTCAGTTTTGCCTTCACACTTCAATGTCCAAATACCTGAGTTGTATGCAGCATAAACCACAAAATCAATCTATATAACTAAAACCATAAAATCCTTACATCTCATCCAAGTGGTTTTGCCACCGGCCAGCATGGATACTGTCATTGTTGAAGCGGTCTTCAGAAGTAAACTTTTGCAAAGATCAGAAACTTTCGGCCTCTACCAAGGGTTAATGCCTTACACTGAGACTGTACAGTGCTTCCTCTGACGTTACAGAAACATTAGGCACAGTAGAGACACCGAACAGGACAGTGTGCGCTTGGAAAGCACATCCTTGCTGTACAGGATCCGGCCTGGTTCAACACAGCGATGTTGTACAGTGCGACGGCAAAAATCAGGATGATCGCATCTACCTCATGAGAGCCAGCTCACCCAGACCTTCCAGCACGGCCTCAGGAACACATTCTCCCGGTACCGTCCGCTCCCTCCAGTAGGAGGTTCGTGGCACTATCGGACCAGTTCTGACACATCATGGAAACAGACTGGCTGGGATCTTCACGCTGATCTCTGAAGGCCGAACTGAATCTCGGTTCTCCTCCCTGCATCAGACAGCCGATGGACCAGGCCAGCTACTGCACAGAGTGCACAGCCCCACTGGCACACCCCTCACATCTGTGGAGCCACATTCCTCACTCCTCAGCCAGACTGGAGGCTCACCAGCTACCAGCCGGTCCTCTGTCCCACTCTGGGCTGCCTGTGGCCATTGCTGGTCTATTATGTACAGAGAAAAGTCCGATAAATGCTGTAGAACAGCCAGCTGGTCATGCCTCTCACTGCTGCACAAACAGCTAGCACGCTAGTTGATTACTGTACTAAGGGGGGAGCAGAACTATAAGTACAACATACTGCAGGATTAGAGAAGGTGTTATATACTAAACAGTGCTGAAATGTGTACCAGAAAAATAATAACTTTCTTTTCCATCATGAACAGCTGAGCTCTTCAAAGACGGCAAACCAGACTTTTTCCCAATAGGTAAATTAGAAGAGTGATTTAAATAATTAAATATCGACCACCCACCTCAGTCGTGTGCCAGTCACCAACTTCCTACCACTGAGATTTACTCTCCAGTAAAATCAGTACATTAAGACCCCCCCGGGCTGAATTATTACATTTTACAAGCTCTACCATCGCTGAGGCCGCTACAAAGAGAAAAGGTGGAGGAGCACGTGTTCATTAAGACTGGGTGGTCTCTACGCTGAGCAAGTCATATCTACAGCAAGGCAGAGGAGCGAGGATTCTGAAGGACTTCTGATAACCACTTTCAGAAAGGTCTACAACAGATATAAAGAAGGTGAATATATACACCATAACAGAAGAATTATACTGGGACTACTACAATCGCATCACGGTCAAAGGTTATGCATGTTTGATAGCGCTGGAGATGCTGTATAGGAAATATACAGGACCGTGAACTGCAGATAATCCAGAGCGTGTATGTGCACTGAGGGGAATGTAGATGAGGAGCCTGCAGCTCCAGCCTTCATAAGCTGAAGGGGTCTTTAATTCTCACTCCGCCTCTGATCACAATTAATTAATTGTACTAATTATTAGTCCAAGAAGTTGAATCAACTGTTCCTTTAGGCCTTCATCAGTTGGTAATTAAAATGTGCCTGTACAATCTGCTGGAAGTCTTGTACATCTCTGATTAAGGCAATGTATTGTGGATAAAGCAGACTCTGCATTGCGAACAGAGTACATAGATAATAGCAGGGTAACACAAACCCCAGCTGTGTGCATTAGACTACGGTGACAGGAGTAGACAATTAACCATACTATATATAACACTACCCATAAAATTACACGGGTCATCAAACGTTTCTTATAAGCCCATCATTTTAAAAGCAAGAACGCTCCGATGTAATTAAAAGCCACTTTAATGAAAATTGCCGTTCGATTCCTTAATGAGCTGAAGTACAGATTTTCAAAGCTGTGTAAAAAATTGTTTGGAGCCAGGCTTCCTCAGCGCTCGTTAACTGTGGAAGATAATTAATGCTGGCTTCTTAATAACCGCAATACGTACATCGACTAAGTACTCAACATGTTTTAAATGAAGTGCTTTGTTATA